GAGCTAAAAGGATACATTTAGCAGAATATTAATTAGTGTTGTCCTTAAACAGTCGATAAGTGCAGAGGTGAAAAAGACTGAAGTAAAAAGGAGAAAAAGAAGAGTGCGTTGAAAATGTCATCGTTATCAGGCTCCGCAGAGAATCTGTCAAGCACGGTAGTGGCGCAGGTGGTGGTGATTCCAATTCGCAGGATGGTAGCAGGCGATTGTCGGGCGGGAGTCGCTGAGGATTTGCGCACCTTAAGCGCCATTTATTCACAATTAGGCAATGCTTACTTCTATCTGGCTGATTATCCGAAGGCTATGCATTATCATAAATTGGATTTGACTTTCGCACATTCTATGAACGATAAGTTAGGCGAGGCTAAATCTTCAGGTAATTTAGGCAACATGTTAAAAGTAATGGAACGTTTTGGTGAAGCTGTTATTTGTTGTGATCGCCACTTGACTTTGGCTCGTCAGCTGGGTGATAAATTAAGTGAGGGACGGGCCTTGTACAATCTAGGCAATGTTTATCATGCCAAAGGGAAGCATATGGTCAAAGAAATCCCAGCGATTTTGGAGATGATGTTAAAGAAGCTTTAAGCAAAGGTGTCGAATATTATAAACAAAACTTGAAGCTGATACGCGAATTAGGTGATCGCAGTGCTCAGGGCAGGGCAGGACTTGCGGTAATCTTGGCAATACCTATTATTTATTAGGTGATTTTCAAGCAGCTATTGAGCACCATCAAAATCGTTTGCGCATTGCCCGTGAATATGGCGACAAGGCAGCCGAAAGACGCGCCAATAGTAATTTGGACAACTCCCACATATTCCTCGGTCAGTTTGAAGACGCGTCGGAACACTATAAACGCACGCTGGCCTTGGCTGTCGAACTTGGCGAAAGAGAAGTGGACGCACAAGCATGCTACAGTTTAGGGAACATTTACACATTGTTAAGGGAATTCGGTATTGCTATTGAATATCATCGACGCCATTTGGCAATAGCAAGAGAATTGTGTGATCGCGTGAAGCAAGGGCTTGTTGGTCCCTCTGCAATGCCTAGTCCGCCATAGGAAAACATTACGAAGCTCTGCACTATGCGGAATCCCATTTAAGATTGGCGAGAGAACTGCAGGATAAGGTAGGAGAAAGTACGGCTACAGTCAATATCTGCGATTTGCGCAAGATACTTGGATTTCCAGAATTGAAACTTCCCATTGAATTAGAAAAACGTTACGAAGGCACAGAATTTCTCGCAGAACTCGATTCGAATATCTCACAAGGACGTATGGTAGGATTTTTTAAAAGTTTGGATGAAAATGATGAGATTTCACATTTTTTAAACGTTTTCATAGGTACGCGTGCGCCGTCGATCAACGGAGCAATTAGACTTAATTAAGATTACACCCGACGGTAAACAACAACAAAAGCAACAGAATTCGAAAACCGAACCGAAAAATAATTCAAAAGCTCAAGATGATGATTTCTTCGAATTACTTTCGCGTTCGCAGTCGAAGCGAATGGATGATCAACGTGGCTCCATTAAAATCGGCAATGGGCAAATACCAATCTTATCTCCGACATATGCAACTGGAGAACTCGTGCTCCCGGAGAGCTGCAAAAGGTGATGGAAATGGACAAAGAGAGAGTTGTTGCAGCCGAAACAGCTTCAGGTAATCCCCCAGATATCAAAATTATTGACATAAACGCTAATAATAGCAATTCACAAGCCAATGCTGGTGCTGGTGCCACTCATGCTGTATTGACTAGAAGTCATACGACAACAGAACAACCAGACGATGCCTTTCTCGACATGCTGATGCGTTGCCAAAATTCACGTTTGGAGGAACAGCGGTCCGAATTACCGAAGCCTAATCTCGTGTTTGATGCGGAAACGCTTCGCCAGAGCAACTTTGGCCGCGCAGCCAATATTGTGCCAGATGACGACTTTTTCTCGCTCATTATGAAAGTACAAAGTGGCCGCATGGAAGATCAACGAGCAGCTATACCCATACCACATCGAGATGGTACTAACGCTAATAACAATAATAATGTTAAGTAATTTAAGTGTTGGTTCATCTCTCCAAACCAAAAACAGAATTAAGAAACAAAGTCCGTTTTCTTCAATGCATTTACCATTTTTAATAATATTATACTAATATTCAAATTAAGCACAAACACACAACTATATATATAACCACAAAAAGATTGCACTAACACATTTCAATTGTTAAACCTGACCTTTCATAAATTTCATAAATAAGTTGAATAATTTAACAAAAAAAGAGCATTTATCTCCCCTTGAATGTCTCCTGACTAGTTTTATTCAATATTTATAGATCCGCCGTTCGATTTTCGCATATTTTTCAATATTTTCTGTTAATTCTTACCATATATTCATACAAGTGCTTTTATATAATATTAGGTTGGGGAAAAAGAAATCCATTATTTTTATATGAACTTCAGGACTTTATTTAACATGCTTCGGATTGTCCGATTGTTGTACGATTTGTTGCCATTTTAAAGGTAACTTCAAAATGCCTCTCTCATATAAGTCCTGGTCTCTATTTGCAAAAAACTCTAGTAGTCGATTTTTACAATCCTCCCTAGATTCTAATTTTTTATCAATGCAATTAAAGAAATTTTGCAATGCAAGAAAAAGATGATAATCGCTTGGTACCAAGTCCGGACTGTACGGCGGATGCATTAAAACTTCCCAACCAAGCTCTCGAAGTTTCTGGCGAGTCACTGTAGATGTGTGTGGCCTAGCGTTGCCCTAGTGGAACACGACACCTCTCCTGTTGGCCAATTCTGGCCGTTTCTGGTCAATCGCTATCTTCAAACGGTCCAGTTGTTGACAGTAGAGATCAGAATTTAGCGTTTGGCCATATGGAAGCAACTCATAATAAATAATCCCCTTCCAGTCCCACCAAATGCATAGCAAAACCTTCCTGGCCGTTTGAGGTGCTTCACCGATCTTTGACCACGATCGTTTTCGCACAGGGTTATCGTATGTGATCCATTTCTCATCTCCAGTCACCATCCGTTTAAGAAATTTCATTCCGTTTGGCCAAGGCTTCGCAGATGGAAATTCGATCCATCATGTTTTTTTCTGTTAATTGGCGTGGCAACCAAACAGCGAGCTTCTTTTTGAATTCAGTTTGTGCAAATGGTTTAAAACTGTTTTATGGTCGATTTTTAGCTCCTGGGCGATGTTACGACTGCTAACATGCCGGTCAACTTCGATCATTTCTCCGATTTTATCGACATTTTCGACGACCGGCCTACCTGTGCGAGGTGCATCTTTAACATCAAAAATTCCTGAACGGAATCTACGAAACCAAAATTGCACATAATTGGCTGTTACAGTGTCGGAACCATAAACACCATTCACAATTTTAGCCGCCTGGCTTGCATATTCGCCTTTGTCAAAGAAAAACTGTAAAATGTACCGAATTTTCTCTTTGTTCATTTCCATTTTTAACACGCTGTAACTCACAACTGAATGCACCAAACAAAAAACCGCAAAAGAATTTTTTTCACTGCGAAATGTCATCTTTCCAACGAGCATAAATCTGAAATTGTTTGATCGATACTTTACGAGAAATCTATCAGTGCAGCCATATACCGAAAAAATAATGAATTTCTTTTTCCCCAAACTAATATATAAATGTATAAAAAAAGAGCATTTATCTCCCGTTGAATGTCTCCTGACAAGTTTTATTCAATTCTTAGAAATCTGGTGTTCGATTTTTACTGGTTGTAGAGGCCGCACTCGTTCGGTACCCAAATATTTTAGACCACCTTGTTCCCAAATTGTAACTTATTTCAATATATAAGGATGACGATAGATCATTAAGTTCTATAAAAATGAAATATATTTTAGAAGTATGAATGGTTAAGGTTGTTTTTTCTCGAAAAACTTTAATTGCTCTTTCTAAAGGCCCTTGGACGGCCCAGAGTTCTTCAGGTTCGCCTTGGAATATTGACAGGTACTTATCGTAGATGCATAAACGACCGTAGTTACAAATGACTGAAAATCATGATATATTCGATAAAGCGGCTGTCTGAATGGTAATAATTTAAATGTAAGCAAATAGGTTAATAAAATGTCTTAACTTGTAAAAAATGATTCATACATTTTTATAGATCATATTTCCTCATGCTTCCGTTATCAAGTGTTTATTGGATTGTGGCATTAATAAATGGAAACAATGAAGTAAAATCTACGCCGTTGCGTATCGCTTCTCAACCCTATAATTTCAGTAACGAAGTATTTACTGACTGTCGTTCAAATATTCAGAAATATTTTACTAAATTAATTTCTTTGCTTCTAAATAATAGTGCGCATCTCAATCAGCCCAATAAATTCGATGAGCGTCTTTTCAACTTAATTGCTAGCGATCCTGCTAATAACACTTTAGGAGGAAGATTGACATTTAACTTCTTATTGAAATAAAGTAATTAAAGCAATTAACCGCATTAGGGCTACTTTTCCAGATTTTTTATCCCCCACTGCTTTTTTAACGTCGCTGAAAAACCAAGCCGGCTTAGAAGTATTTCACACCCCTTAATTTTCGCACAATAAGCAAGACTAAAGTAACATCGGCAACGTTCAAACCATTCCTCCAGTAAATTATTATTGTATTGTTTTATGCATTATTATTCTTTTTAAAGTTAAAATTTTTATTTCGATAATTACATTAATAAATTTTAACTGCTTAATTTTTAATTACTCTTATATAGTAAGTTAATAACCGTTTGTAGAGACGTCACGTTATATGTACAAACAGTTTTTCAAATTTAACAAAAAAACCTTATTCTAAAAGTTTTTAGATAGTTTTAGTGTATAAGTGTAGACGTTTTTATAGTACTACGTTGCGAAATAGGTAAAAAGTTGAGGTTCAATTCTTGTTTGAGGTGTAACGAAGATCACAATATCTTTGCAAAAAAAAAAAAAAAAAAAGACCAACAAGGCTTAAAAACAAGAAACAAAACAACAAAATTTAAAAAAAATTAAATTTATAGTAGATTTGGGTTTTTTTCTATGTTGTTGACAATTATAATGATGATATTTACGTTTTTCTAATTCGAGACATTGGTTTACTTTTTTTCTTAAACGTTCATTGTAAGCTTCCAACAAAATATTGTCTATTAAAACAACAACTTTGTTTGTTCGAAATTTAGCGCTGGCTCAACCCCTCCGCGTCATACTCTTCTTGCTAACATTGTTACTGAAACTGATAGCCGGCCATAAAACTAGCTGTTGTATTTAATAAACCCAAACGTTGTTTTTGCTTACGTTGTTCGGTCATATGGTCTTTTAGTTCGTGCAATTGTTGTGAGAGATTCGTTATTAACATTTGTGTTTCCATTAATTGTGCTTGCAAGCTACGCAATTCTATCTGTTCACCATCAGCATCTACGGCTGCTAAAGACATGGCTCTTAGACGGGGAAACCAATCCAAGATGCTGGCTTTAACCATAGCATACACATAACTTTCGGGTCCCGTGAATTCTGTCGGGTCTTTAACCTTTACCAGTACTATAAAGTAAAGGTAATGCCACATGTTGTGTTCACTTTTAGTATGCTCTTCAAAACTGACCGTTTTATTATCGAAGGCGGAGCGATTTAGACCGCATATGAAACAATGATTTTTTAAAATAGTTTCTTTCTGTTGTTTTTCACTTCTAAGATCAGCAAATGTATCAATGATTACACCGAAAATTAAATTCAGCACAATAATAATTACAATGAAGAAAAAGAGCAAGTCGTAAATAACACGAGCAGCAAATAAACTTTCCTATTTTTTTGGAAGAAATAAACAAAAAAATAATTTATATCATTTTTGTGTATATATTTTTTTATAATAAAGCTAGCGGATCAAATGCGGCAATAATTCTTTTAGAACATTTTTATATATGTAAAGGATCAATCTAACACAGAAAAAGGAAGGAAAAGAGCCGTAGGTGAAAAAAGAAAGAGACCTACTGTGAAAGGGGAGCCAAATGGGAAGGGAGACAAAGAAACATAGTTACTTTCGAAAAGAATTAGCTTACTAATGTTAGACTTGATCATATAAAAAAGAAGTTTCTGTACCCCACCAAAGCTGGTCAAAAGTATAATCAACAATATCTTATTCAGATTGGTCCATTACTATCAACTTAAAGCACATTAAAGAAAAAGGAAGAAGAAATGAAGAATAGCAAAATAATTGTGCCATGGGGGGTATGAGAAAAACGGGTCAACTTATACGATAGATAGTTTTTAATTGGCTTTTCTATTATCTTCGGGCAGCATCTTTATATCAGATATTTTCACACCCTGCCATTTGAATTTGAATTTCTCTCGTTAAGGTCCCTTAGTAATTAATGCTGTCCCATACAAATTTATTGCAAAGTATACGTGGAAGTTATTGACTGTTGTAATTATATAGGCTAGCGACTGGATATCAGTATTAGTATGAGCAGTTCTTTCATTTATTGAGAGAGACGAATGCCATGTCGCAGAAGTTAACTCACCTTACTAGATGGCGCTCTCAGAATATCTCCGATACCGCCGCCATTTCGCAAGCCTTGATTTAAAGTAGTAACGATGCACATCACCAATGAATCGCAGGAACGTTCTTTGTTGTCGCTACTACCTGAAGCAATTAGCTGTGATTTCTGTATCTCATCGGATGGCGAACAGCTTTCTTCTGCACTCACTGATAATGTCATGTCAATATCTGCCGATAAGAAAATTAAAAAAAAAGCGAATTTCTTTGCAAACCACTAACCATTACCTGCATCCTCTACATCAACTGATACCAAAAAATCATCTTTAAAGAACATATAACCGATAATGGAGAAAAGATAAACTAAAATCAAGGCCAAGACAGCTGTCAAAACGATTGAACGACCATTGCGAGTCACCGAACGAATAACATTAATTAGCGTTTCCTCCCGATAAACCACATCGAAAAGCTGAAACAATAATTAATTTATTTCTAATAAGCATTAAATGTAATGTAAACTTGCCAATAGTGAATAAAAGAAAGGATGAACTACTAAACCGCAAAAGCAGAATATTATGTAAATGCAGTGGTATAATAACTGAAAATCGGTTATGATTTTAAAGAAATGTTTCTCCAAAGTTCCTTGATTGCCCATTATACTAATGATGTGAACACTTTTCAATGTAACCTAAAAAAGATAAAATGTATATACATATGTAGGTACCTTAAAAAAGGCAATTTATATAAAAGATAATACCTATAATACATAAATTGCTCAAGATTTTCCATTGAATATATTTTAGGTCATACTTACTGTTACTATACCCAGCAAGCATAACGTGGACTCCGGACCCATTAAAAATATTGAACGCAATATAATTGAACCAATTAATGTACGTATGCCTGATTCACGTGGTAACGTTGCTACAATCACTAACGAAAACGACAATATAGTCCAAAATAATAAAGATATATGAGAACTAAGTTCTGGGGAAGAAAACAGAAAACCATTTTTATTAAATTAACGATAATTTGCAAAACTGTTGCTACCATTTACCTGGTACGGTGTTATCAAATGGGTAGAAAAAAGCTACTATCATATTAATAACAACTACGCAATTGAAGAGAATATTGCTCCATAAGGACATGTAACTGCTAACCCAAAATAAGAAGGGCTGTCCTGGATGAATTAAAAAAAAAATTACTTGCCACATCCAGTTTAATTTGAGTTTCTGATTACCTCTAAGTTTTTTCTGCCACTTCATCTCGTTGAACATTTCTTCGGCCTTGTCAAAAAAGTCGGCTACTTTCGAACCCTGATCGTCCCTCTCAGCTGTTTGAAAGATTTTCATCTTTGTGTCTGTAGTCAAATATTCGCATATCTCAGGGATAGGAAATACAATTTGCTCCAGGGTGCGATCGTTACGTACGATCTGAAAAAATTTATGTAAGCATAAATCTTGTGAATAATGGAATTAGTCATCTAATGTTGTAATAAAAATAAATAAGAAAAACTGTTTACTATATAAATAATGCAGATGGTCAATAAAAGTGAAATGAGTTATGAGGATAGGTATCTGTACCAAAGTGATAGGTCGCCCAAATTAATTCTTTTGGAAGTGAGTGAATAATCTGGATCCACCTTTGAGCAATTAAATATCGTAAATAGTCTTCTGCCAACTAGCGCTCAAACACAGTGACAGGATCGATTAGTATGATCTTTATTGACAAAAATATATTTCAGTTTTTGGTATTTCGAACCGATTACAATTTGGTTTGCGGAGCTAATTCAAAGAGTTAAGCTAATTTCCTTTCTTAATTTTGCACAATTATACATTTTTACAAGAAATCGTGGTCGGTTCAGTATGATGGACACGTTTGAAATGGATTTGCCATACAGCGAAACTATCTTTATGGAATTTCTGCTAAAAGTTTTAATAAGAAACAGAGAAACCTTCGGATATCCCTTAAAGAGATTACGTCCTACATAACATAGATCTTGTGTAAGTTCTTCATAGAATTTTCGTAATACTTTCCACTCACCTCTATCTGTGCTGTATGAGTAGCATAATACATTAAAGCCTGACTCATTTTGGCGTCAAAACTGACTGCATGTGGATCTTCAGAAGCTTTTAACAAAGCTGCCAGTTCTTTATTGTGCTGCGCAAGTTGATGGCACAATATGTAAATGTTATGGCCGACTTCACGAGGGCTAACTGATACATCATCATCATCGTGATCGCCGTCGACAATTTCATCTTGATCATCCGCGTCATCGATCATTTCTTCTTGATGGTATGCTTTACAAGCCACTTCTACTAGCTGCTTTGGATTCATATTATATAAAATGCGTTCAGCATTTTCACTGTCACCACGTGATTCCATAATAGCCAATAGCAATTTTGACGCGTTATTTTTTAATTCCAGTACCAAGTCCATACGATTTTCACCCAACGGATTGATGTTATTTAATATTAGTGCAGTTATAATATCTAAGCCATTCGATTCGTGCGTTGCTATGCAATTCTGATTTTCATGACAAGGACCCTGACAATATTCAGTAAGAGTTTCTAGGGTTTGATTAATCAAAGCTACATTATTTTCGTTGATGTAAAGTCCTAATAATCCTAAACCACCCGTGGTAGAGCCGCAAATGCAATCCAAGAACATAAGTGTTTCTGAAACCAGATTGTAATTGGTCTTATGGTTTTGATGGCGCAAAAGATTTTGAAGGTCGGGATTGTGATTTTCACAAAGCAATTGTAGAAACCTTAATATCGGTTGCATTACCAATACCTTGTTAGAAAGTTTGTTGCGATCTTCTTTGCTATCCTTATGCTTTTCTAATTTCTCTGCTATTATCTCATCCAAAGGACTGTTAACGTTAAGTGCACTGTGTTCATCACCCACTGCATGCAGATTGCGGGCGTTACTGAAAGCTCGAGCAGTCGCTAGACCAGCATTGTGCAGTTCTTTTTTCAGTTCTTCAGTAATTACTATACCATTGCTCTTCACACCATGTTTACGCGAGATTTTATCCAATTCCAAATTGACGTCTTGTTTGCTTTCATGGGCCTTAGGCGCTGTATCTGAAGTGTTAACGGTAACTGTTGACTTAATCTCTTGCTGCGCATCCTTCATTTTATCGAAGAAAACTTTGAAGAAAGCCTGATTCAAATCACCGCTCAAAAACTTCTGATACATGCCTTTTTGTATAATCGGGTTACCACCTTCCAACAAAGCAATACCAAGTTCTACAGCTTCTACAAAAATGGAAGGAGAATGTACTGATTTAATGACCAGCTCTATAACTAAATCGGAAGCGCCTTCGCGATCTAAATGATTTTGTACTTCATGTAAGGTCTTTTCAGCTCTTTGAAGATATTTGGCACCAGGACCGTGAGTAACTAGGTGAACATGTTTTTGTTGATGGCTCACAATATTTGAACCATTTAAAATATCACCTTTTCCCTCAGTAGGTGTACGAGAACTGCCGCTAAGTTTGAGATCAAAATAAAGCTTTAACAATGTCTGACGTAAAGCGTCACCCTTATCGCCATAATTTACATCAATTGCCATCATTTCACGAAGAGTGCGCAAGACTTTCACGCACAGTTTCTCTTCTTTTTCTTCTAACAATTTTTCAGTGTGCTTGATAAGTTTCCGTATAAATCCCCCCGATTCGCAACGTTTGCGTGCTTCAGTGCCTTGAGGGAACAACAACTCCGAGCGATATAATATATCCACTAACAGAGAAAGCTCAGCTTCCACCACCGGCTTCAGTTGATCTTCCAATAATGATACAATTTCTTGCAGACCTTCTATAATCGACCGATCTAATCGCATTAAATTTGTCGACAGCTGTGCTTCGTATTTTGGCTGCTTCGAGGCCAGTAGCCATTTCGTTGTTTGGCGAGTCAACATGGCCGTCTTACTGGACATATTGACTACCTGTTGCTCGAGGTCAAGTGGTATAGCAATGCTGCGGGTTTTCGCCGATTCAGCCAACGTACGTAGACAATTTTCGACATTAAAGCGATCGGCCAATGTCAACCATTTGCACTGCGATAAACGATATGAAGCCTGCAAGAGTTGCACAAAGATCATCTGACGTGATTGCACGATGGTGCTCTGATCCGAAAACGGGCTGCTAAAGAAAGTGCTCAAGATATTCAGAACACCATTCAAGACATAATTCATTAGACTTTTATCACCAGTGGGGCCCACCGCTATTAACTGATTAATGTCTACTAAAAAACTTTTTTCAAATAAATTCCACATATGACCCGATGAATAGATTTCTTTCATTTCCACTTCAGTATCAATATAACAGTGATTAAGAAAGTCTACATAAGCCTCCTTTACTTCCGGTATACAGGCGGAATTACAAATTATTGTAACAATATCATCCAGAGATAACAAATTATTGCATTTAATTTCCGTATAGAGGTTTTTACCCATTGTACAACAAGCCAATAACTTTACCAATTCTACATGGTAACGCAGAGGACTGTCTTCAGTTAATGGAGACATATGTTTTTGCATCATGTTTACAAATTGATTGAATGAAGCCTTATCATTGTAAAACACCAAAACTTCTTCCCCTGCATTGATAAGCTCTTGCATAACCATATCCTGGCATTTACGTATGAATTGATTTTCCGCCTTAACAATTGTTTGCAAGAATTGCAAATACACGACATGGCGTCCGTGAATTTCAATACAATGGACAAAATGTTGTACAACCTTGTCGGTAACTTCATTGCAAATGGCAAGATTGTCTTTGAAAATAGCACAAACAGTTTTCGCTTCCAATATCTATTAAAGAAGAAGTTGTAAATATTTACATGTAATGCATATTTTACATACTCCCGGATTAAGGAATAAATCCAAATGATTATGTAACAGCACTTGATTTTGCTGATTGCCCAAACAGAAGTTCTGGAGAAATTCGTGTGCCAAAAACATTAATTCTTTCATAAGTTCATCGTCTTTTTCATCATAAGGATTTTGTAGAAGATCGAGGACCACGGTATGAACTCCTACATTACGCAAAAGACGTTGTTCATGTTTGCGGGGTTTAACATAAGGGCCTAGAACGATAATTAATGTTGTTATAAACCAAAGAAATTATCGAGTATTTGGTATAAGACAGAGATCGAGAAGGAGTAAGAGATAGAAGAAGAAAAAGAGAATTCGAGAGAGGAAAGAGACGAAGAAATATCGTGACTCCTGAGTCTAATGTTAATAAGAAACATTTTTTGATATCCTTTCTTTGGGAAAGTTCCTCGATTACAATTTCAATTAAACTAAGGAGAAGTGCGCAATTAAGGAATCAAGCCTAAGTGGTCTTCCATGTAAACGAGTGGGCACATAATGAAAGACTACAATGAAATCGCATTACATTTTCTACTGGTGGGCTCATATACACAAACCGAGTAGTTCCGAAAAAGTTGGAAGTGTCCAAGGCGCTTGGATGATCGAAATATTTGCAATATTATTAAGGGAGCCTGGCTAAGTCTGTTAATATTATGTGGAGGCAAAAAAAACGGACGCAGACAAATTTCGAGGATACTTCCGCTTATCTGTCCACAAGTACGCCTAGTCATTCTAGATTCAAAATTCACAGCCGCAGTTTAATGGGATACGATTGGGTCACCATAAACACCTCTTTTTATATGTGCTAAACTACGCAAACGAACATAAGGTGTTCAAAGCTAGCACGTGAAGTTTAAAAATTCAACACGATTAAAATGTTGGAAGAATCCTCTTTAGCTTACCTTGGGTAACACAAAATTTATTCATACGCATTAAAATCTCTTTGACCTTTTTATATTCATTTAATTGCTCGGTAGACAAGGAAGCCCTGTATTCGTTGCTTAAATTTTGCATGTCGATATTCAAATCTGCAGCACCTAAATGTCAAGCACCATTATTTAAAATTCTTTCAGAGTACTTGAGAACCCACTTGTACTGATTTCTTCGGAAGTCTTCGATTTATAAACCCACAACTCAGATTTTTCAACACTTTGGCGTAAAATATCTAAATCGTGTTTAATTTGTTTATATGATTCCACGTCGCTGTCGGATACTAGAAGTTGAACCTTAAAAAAAAAAAAGAGAAGAGAAGAAGAAAATGATACTTATTCTGAAACAAAATTCGTCTACACATAAATAAATATATATACTAACTAATTCCGCCCACTTATTGTGTGTATAAAACATGCAAAAATTTGAAAAAAACATTAAATATTAATTAAAACTTTAATAAAAATAATTTTAAGAAAGTTCAGAAAAAGATCTTCGTAATAAAGCAAAAAAGCACAGCAGGGCGAATTTCAAAACTCGACAATTGCTTTGCTTGCTTTCTTTGGATTGCTCCTAAGCCACTCACGATAGAAAACTGTGGGTCAAGCGTTTTAGCTTAGGATTTAGCCTATACTGTATTATAACTTCTTTGAACTTACTTGACGAAAAGCTTGCAACACCTCTTGGCGCTGACTGAAATGACGAAACAATAAGTGCAATGCTCCCGACACCAAAGGAGGATAGTCATGCATTATTAAATGTAGCAAAACTCTCAAAAAGGTACGACCACCTTGACCATCTAAATCTAGGTTAGCTGCATCCCCTCTAACACTATCAAATATACCCTCAGCTTGAAGGCCTATGGATTCTAAATCGATATTCTTTTGCCGTTGCGTAAAAGCAGAAGACGCTGTTGATGGATTAAGTGAAGAAGTTTGCTGTTCTGTAGTAACACTTTCGGCAACGTTACCATCACTTTCATCAAATTCCCGTTTGAATATGGACAGCAGGCAACTAATTCTATAATCCAAACGTACGTCGAGTATAAACTGCAAAATCTCGATTATTTTTAGTTTTGTATCCATCACTAAAGGATACTCCTTCAGTAGCTGCGAAACCGATTTACGTTGTTGTAAGGTTGTCGTTGGTGTAGTGGCCATAATGTGGCCCACTGGGCCCAAGGCCAAAGAAGTCATTACGGTGTTCATATCCCCAATGCTACGTAAAACGCCCCCATCCGCTTTAAAAGAAATACAAAAATTAATATCTCATCTTAATTAAAGAGAAAATTTTTAGTAGTTCCGTTATTTACATTTGGACTTTTTTATACTAAACTCACCAACATTTTCCTGTGTGGCAGCTTTTATGGTTAAATTTTAATGCGATTTTAACAATTATTTCAACGCCAATAGGGACCAAAAAATATTAAATGCTATTGTATTTAAGTTACTTACATTCGCCATCGGCTGTTAGAAACCTTCCAACTGATAGATTTTCACCATTCGTTTCTGACACGCAGTCTAAAATGCAAAGTAAGGTTTTGGTTAAACGCAACAAATCGCTAAAGCTATAAAAGCCGAAATAAATCAAATCACGCGCCAATTTAACTACCTGGAAAAACCAAAAGTGCATTTAGTTTTTTACCATAACAACATCACCGGTGAAATAAAACATGGTACCGGAAATTAAGCAAATACTCACTTCAAATGTTAATTTATTTTGTTCTTGATCGGTGAATAACCACACTTTAGCAGCCACGTTACACAAATAATTTTCAACAAAAGCGATAGTAGTATTGAATTTCGCTCTTACGGCCTCCTTATTGTGATCAGGTTGTTGATTTTTGCCATCGTAACTAAAACAAGTCGTAACCATTAAGTAACTACAAAACAAATCGCACTAAAAATGTTTCTCCGCAACTTACTCCAAAATAGACATTTTTGAGGGTATTTCACTCCAAAGGCGCGCATATTTTACTGGGGTTACCGGTTCCTGCGGATCGCGGTCCACATGCAAATGCAACATGAGACGACAAAATGACGCACGCAGCTCATACGGCATTGTTTCATCGGACATGCACCTAAACAAACGAATTTAAAGTGATGTGTGTAAATGTCGTGATGTGTTACAGATAAGCATTTTCTCTTTACTTGAGTATTAGATCTATGTCTAGATGGGGAGAGAGATTATTCAAAGCTAAATATTGACGATTCAGACACATATTTGAGAAGAGATTTAATTGATGGCGATAATAATTCAATATGGTTGCTTCGAGTTTTTCTCCCCGAGCCACACACCCAGCTAAGTCAACCATAGAACGGGAACACTGAAAGCGTTAAATTTTTGAAAATGTGAAAGATTTAAAAAAAAACAATACTGACGGCCAAGTCTTTCCATTTTAAATGTATTTCATATTTAGGTTGTTTCTTTTCGTCATACTCGGTTAAGTTATCCAAGTCCCAGGTGGACGTGGTCGCATTGGACAGAGTTTCAAATTTTTCATCATCATCGTCACCCATCTCGGTTAACGTTGATAAAGACAAGCTGTCTTGCTTATTAATTTTTGTAATGGAGTTCTTAGTTCCTTTATTCGGCTTGATTTCAGTTTCAATTAAAATATCCGAATTCTTTGAGCTCAAAACGCTCTTACAAATTAACTCTTGCGTTACTGCTATGGCTTTACGATTTGAAACACATAAATCGGAGAGATAGTCCAAAAATCTCGAATCCCAATTGTGCATATTTTTTCGTACTAAACCCACGAAGGTCTCAATTTCAGCAGCAGTTATGTGTTTTTCCAGCAGCTTGCGATTATTGTGCAATAAAGCTGTAATAGTGTCTTCAGCTAAAATGTCATACCCGATTTGTTTTTGCATTAGACCGAAATGCTTGGCTATATATTCTTGGTTTTTGCGATAATCCTGCTGCGATAGCCTCAAAATACGATAACATAAACGAAAAATGTTTTTGTATGGACTATTTTTTGGATCACTTAATTCATCCAAACGCAGGAAAGGCGCGTCTCCACTTGGGTGCTCCTGAAAAGGACCCTGTAGAATTTTAAACAATTGTTTTAGAATATATTGCTCTCTCAGTAATTTTTGGCGATCCCTTATAGGGCTTTTTATAGACAATTCTAGGGCCTTGGTTTTATTTTGTTCATTTTCCATTCCCGCAATAAAATAAACAATATCTTGCAGCAAAGCAATCAACGAACGCCGTTCGTTAATTGATATCATACCATTATCTAACCTTGTAGTGACAGTGGCCAGCACTTTGCACGCATCATTAGCGAAGTCTAAATCTCGTACTTCTACCGGCGAAACCGGTATCAATGCAAAGGCTTCTTTATCCTCTTTTATTGGTGAAGAACACACTTTGGACATGACTGGCTTATCATCGTCAATATCGATTGGTATAGAAGTGGCATGAACCCAAGTATTCGAGCATAGGTGACGCAATCTAACATAACTCGATTGTGGTACCAAACTATCAGCGCGAGCCATAGTTGTGGGATCCAGTTCGAATACAGAGGCAATATCCGTAGAAAACGGTACAGAGACCAACCTATAAGTTTCCAGCTTAACTTTTTCTGCAAGTATAATATAGATTTAGCTTCTAAAAGCCAAAATAACGCATACTTTACCCAACATAATTGAATTACAGCTGATTCCCGAATCTTTGGTGTTGTCCGTACTTAAATTAACGTTATGTTGCTGCTGTTGCTGTTCTTGGTGGTGTACTAACATCTGCGGATGGATTTGTTGATGTTGTGACTGGTGAGCCGCTTGACTATTGTCCGCCGAGTCCAGCTCAGCGGCTAAGTAATAGCCTGTAGCTAGATGTTTAAAGCGATACAGAGAATTCCAGTGACCAGCACCACCACGGCATGAATCATGCTGGACCACTTCAATTTCCCAAAGAGCCTTACTGGACGTTGCAGCTGTGGCACTTGTACGTCCTGTGGTACGCAAAAATACATGTTGCTGCTTTTTATATTCATCCATTGTCAAAAATTTTTCTTGTTCAGCATGAAACAAACGCACTACATCTCCGCCCTTCAGTATATGCTCTTGATTTTCACGATGTTCCATAAATAAAGTGATTTTCCATGAGGTGGAAGAATTTAAAACGTTGACTTCTTTGCACCCGGGATTATCAGGCAATTCATAATTGGACGCCACATGTAAATTTTGCTGATCCGCATTGACAGGATTCAAGATAACTTTATCGCCCATCACAACATTATCACCAATGGAACGTAACTTATAAAAAGGCATAATATAAAACCAGGAACCCTCATTGCCATTGGCATCCAAGTAAACTCGCATTGCATTTTTTTCTAGCAACGAAGGCAAACGTTTATTAACTGTTAAATATTTGTTGGATTTGAGATGCAACAATTGCACCACGCTGCCGTACTGTATGATTGAGCCCAAGAGTTTCTTGTTTTCGGTTTCGTTTTGTTTCTTCTCAATTTCAGCGGCATGCTACAGAAAGAAATAAGATAAAAAGTGTGATTGCAGAGGTACGAAAGACTTGAGCTTACATGTAATCGCTTGAGCAAATTAGTATCTGTATTCGTACTAGCTGATTGTTTGGCGGCTTTCCAGAATTGTTTCTGGGCTGAGTACCGATTCATAGGACATACTTTTATCAGACAATCTGCAAATCAATGAAAGACGCAATGCTTTATATTATATTTTAGTGTAGTAAAGGTCAAAAAGCAATTACCTCGAAACTTCTTAGGGGGGAAATTTAAGTCGCCAGCCTCTGGACATACGACAGTGCGGTCATCTACTAACCTGTCAGCGAAAATAAGAACCCGATTTCCAAAATATTAAATATAATGTAAGGTTGGACATAATTTTTTTGAAAAATGTATATCAAAACTACTCCTGGAAACATAGTTACTCTCTAAATTATATAGTTATAGGCTTTGCGTGGTAAGTGGTCGATGGCCCGACCCAAACCATTTTCAACAGCTCTCGTCTTTGGACCAAAACGGGCAAATTTCATTAAAATATTTTAAAAATTGCAACCTGTAAGCTTTACAAGAAGAACACAAGACAGACAGTCAGACGGACGTGCCAGCTTAGTGACTTTGAATCTATCGGTGTAATGGAAGATGGGTGTATCTCTTGGTCTGGTGATGCCTTGTGTATCTGGTGTATCTCCGCTCAAACTCTATACACCTTTGTAGCGCAAGAATATAAAAAGCAACCGACACGTCCTTAGAGACAGGTGGTCTCCATCTGTAAATTAAGCCGAATTTCGATTCTATTTTTCCAGATTTGTTCCATGATATAATAATTAATCCCCCGCACTAATTGTAATCATCAACCGCCGGCTGTCGAGTCTGTGATGCGAGGGCGAAGACAATATATGCTGCCTCGGTTCATGACGGTTGCCGAAGCCGCTCGACAGTTACTAAAGATTATTCATATTTAAAGTGGTACAATACATGCAAAATTATCGAGAATTTTAGACGCTTATTCTTTAAAGTGGTACTTTTTTTTTTTTTTTTTTGTTTGTTTAGAGATGGATTGGACCAGTTAAGTTAATGTTAGATCCATAATCCAGAAACGAAGTTGAGAGCGATTGATGAAAAAATTTAAGCATAGGTAGACTGATGTGTCAGAGTGTTCGCAATGAGAGGCTCTGTTCCGCTGTCAATCCATAAATCACCGTACTTGGTACTGTACTGTCAAGATCCGGCTAATAATGCCGATAAAAGAAAAAGTGTAGGCGATTCGTGATTGTAATAGAAATACTAAATGTAAAATTAGAATGAAAACTCAGCTGATTTGATAAAGGCAGTCAGTTGCTTCAAATGCCTAAAGTTACCAGCACGAAAAATTTCATACAGATTGTTATACAGGTTAAATATACTGAAAGATTGTCTAAGGATGTCAAACCTCCTGCACTCAAAAATAAGGTGCTCGGCAGACTCAGTAATATTGCAATCCTCACAGATGTCAGAGGAGGAGACTTTGATCATTTTAAAATAGACCTTGTCGTAGGTGTGATTACTCATAAGACGGTGAAGAACTTTAAATTCCCTTGTTGTGAATTTTCCTTTAGGTAGAAGCGTGGGTGTCAAAAAAGGGGAAAATTTTGTAGAACAGCCGGTCACTTTTTTCTCTAGCTAAAACATGA